CAGTCCACTGAAAGATACATAAACAAGTACACATTTGATAATCAATTCTCCTCTAGGCATTTCTTTTCTTTTATTTAAATCCAACCACTGGCTTCAGTAGACTTATTCCAGATTTTACACCAAAGGAGTGGAAAATCTGGCCAACTGTTTATCTCCCTGCTTTTGTTTTATTTTACTGCAAAGTGCAACAGTAACAGTGGATACTTTACACAAATGTCAAGAAACTAAGGGCAGGAATTTCAGAGGGGTCTGGATAATAGCTTCCCTAGAGAACCCAGACTAAAGAAGTCACTTTTTGTAGTGTAACATTTCATTAAGATCTACTGCATATTTACGTAGGGCACATAACTCACAATCCCTTGCTTTCTGCTGGTGAAACAGCCACACACAAATCAACTATTATTTCCTTGGGTTTATTTGTTATTTTAATTTGACAGGTATGTTTAATTATTTCTATGGCTGAATGGTAAAAATTACAAATATGCTCTCCAGTGCTGGTTGTGATGGATTTAAAAAAAAAAAAGCCCACAGGAACATTTCTATATTTTGTGTAGGTGAATGTAAAATAACTCTTACATTAAAGAGCAACTTCAGCGTTTTCCAAAACCTGAATGTGCAATCTAGATGTTTAATTTTTGTAAAAGTCACATGGATTGATGCTGATAGTAGATGCATGCTGAAAAAGTAAGAGTGTCTTCCAGGAAAAGCCATTTAACAAACAAGGAACTGAAACTAATAGGTACAACAATGTTTTACAGTACTCTGAGAGCTCTGATTTTTCACACTGCATAGGTAATGTAACCACCAGGAAAATAAATGTGTACTGACTCGCAGAAGTGTTAAATGTTACATATGTGCTGATGTATTCCTGAATTAAAAAAAAATAAATCTCAATGCTTCATTTCTTCCTCCAAAAGCACCTTTAGGGCTATCAAGAAGGATATTACCCACAATTTGCTAAGTGGCCCCAGGATGCCAGGAAAGCAGCTTGCAGGTCTAGTGATATGAGCTATTATCTCATGTGTGCCTGAGAAATATTTAGACAGAAATGCAATGAGCCTGGATTATCATGACAGATGAACCTCTGAGCTTCTGTTTTTCTGACTCCCAATGCTAAAGAATCCAATAGCCAAAGCCTACAAGAGGGAAAAGGCAGAAGCTGGATATGTACAGAACTGAGGCTCATCCAGTTCCACCCCCTGCCATGGGCAGGGACACCTTCCACCAGCCCAGGTTGCTCCAAGCCCTGTCCAACCTGGCCTTGGACACTTCCAGGGATGGGGCAGCCACAGCTTCTCTGGGCAACCTGTGCCAGGGCCTCCCACCCTCACAGGGAACAATTTCTCCCTAACATCAGCTCTGTACGTTCCTTTTCTGGGTGTCTGGCTGCCCTCAGTAAGGTGGGCTGGGCAGGCTGTTCCAACAGAGCTGCAGGAATGCCTCACCAGAGGAGCACTCCCCTGAATGCCGAGGTGGGATACAAGCAGGGGAAACGTGCACAAATCCAAGCAGCAGCTCCATTATACGTTTATGATGGAAAGCCATGGCTGACAGTGCCGAGTTAGCCCAAACCCCAGCGAGACCCAAACCCATGCACTTTAATTCTTGGAATAAATGTGCTTACTTGGGGCTAAAATCCTGCAAGAAACATTTCCTGTTCTCTAAGTAACAAGGAACAGAAATTGAATACAGGTGCACTCTGCAGGCTGGCCCTCTCTTGCCCTTATTCTTCAGCTTCTAGGACCACTGGGCAGCATTTATGCATCTACTCTACAGCAGTGTCAGCTTTTGCCAAATTATCATATAAATTCACTGCTGGTAATGGACATTATGTGCTCATGACACTTTCTAAAAGCTGTATAATTATTTCTGTATTTCAATTAGAAATGGACTCACTAATTTATTCTTTGTCTGCAGATTCTTCCTTTGATTTTGTACTCAAACAGCAGAAAACACTTCATAAGAAAACAATTCATACAACAAAATTTTCCCCACTTGGGAGTTTGAAAACCTCCAATCTCTGCTTTGGTTTCATTTTGTGCAAAAATAGTGGCCTTTCTGGCATTTAAAAGCTCTTCTTTAGCACAGCCCTTATCCAAGCCCATTTTCCTGGGCTCACTTCTCTGCTAAAAGAATGACAAAAGATAGAGAGCTTTTACCATTTAAAGAGAAAGACAAGGTGAAAAATATCTTGAAACATTGCTTTTTATAACACCTTTTTTTTTTTCCCCCTATTATCTTAACATTTACTTTTTTAAATGACAAAAATCATATTGGCACCAAGCCAGTTCTGCAGCCCCGGTGCTCAAGGACATCACCAAAGACTCTCAGTGTTTTGCACACACAGCAGCACCTCTGCCCTTAAATTCACCAAACTGATTTTTTTTTACACTAGAGTGTTCCAGCTGGACACAGTCTGTGACTTGGTGTCACTTATGACCACGCTGGGACAGGGTAATTCTCAGAGGGTTTCCAAATGGCACCCACTGTAATTTATATCGAGCCCTCAGGCTGAGTATTTCGGAGTTTGTGTCCAAAAGGAATTCACGCCCTGGCTTGGTCTATTGTATCAACTCTGCATTCTTTCCTGAGGGAAGCTTTCCCAGCTGCTGGTAAAGGCTGCATTAATCTAGAGACTTTCATCTGGTCTAGCACTTGCTGTGTCCCTGTTATAATATCTACAGAGTTCTTATTTTTTGCCATAACATCGGGACACTTTTCATAGGACCTGGAAGAATTTGAGGTCACCTTAAATGTCAAGCCACGAAAACAGAGCCCATTCCACGCCAGCCTTTCCCCGTATGAATTTTAAATATAAATTGGAAAGGGTTGGGGAGCGTGGGAGAACGTGTAGCTTCATTTCTTACGTCTCAAAGTCTCCAAGATCCCTCCCAAACGTGCTTTCCAGGGTGGGAGAAGTCTGAGACAGTACAATAAATCAGCAGAGCCATAACCATAGAAACAGCCAGCCCTGCTGCTCTCCCTTCAGTGTGTACGTGGCAGAGGCACCAGGCACGAGCAGTGCAGGTGCTGGAACAGCTGGATGGCACCAAAAGAGGCTCCTTCTCCTCCTCCATGGGCATGGTCATCCCTGGGACTCAAAAGGAAGAGATTTGGCAGCCAAGTCTAGACTTAGAATGGCAACTGGCACATTAAAACCACTGCTTCAAGTTTCAAGAGCTTTAAATATTAACTTGGTTCAACTTGCATCACACCCTTACAGTTATTGCTGCAGAAATTTTAATGTGTTTCCAGCAGCAAGTTGGCTCAAGGGTTTGCCGTGTTTCTCTCAGCAACTCACAGGCCACCAGTCTGTGCCTGGAAACAAGAATCACCTGCTCTAATGAACCACCCTGGGTACACGACTCACACAGTTCTTATCAAAAAAGGATGGCTACAGATGTGAGGGAAAAGTCTGCTATTTATCTAAACAATCAGCGCTCGTGGCTCACATCAGCAATCTGTTAGACCAGTGAGCTCTGTGCTCCTGCTGAGCCAGAGGCTGGACTAGATGACCTCCAGAGGTCACTCCAAACCAGAATTATTTTATGATTCTGTGATAAATTCAGTACTCATCAGAGAACAGAAACAGTAGCTACAGGGAAGTATTTCTGATACTGACTCTTTTACAGCAAAATAATTGATACTGCCTAACTTGACAGTCACAATTTTTTGCTGGTTTTAAATCCTGACATTTATAGAGCTCCTTGTAAGCACTCCAGCCAGTCATCCCTTGATATCAGCTCAGGGAAAGGAGAAACCCTGGTTCCTTCTGCACTGAGAGTGGGTGCATAAATCAAAACACCTGTGGTTGTTGTGACAGCTTGCCAGAGGTGAATTCAACTCTGAATGCAAACTTTGCTATTTTAAATGAAGTCAGACAACTAACAATGAATTATGGCTGGGAAAGTTAGGTTTTCCGAAACAAAACACCATCTACTATTCCTCTAGATCACACAGTGTAAGTAAAGCTCACGCTAACATGACAAAAAAGCCACTCTTCTGTCTAGAATCCACAATTTTTTTTCCTACTGTAAAGTATATTCTTCATATTTTCCTGTGTCTTGAAAACTAGACCTGCTCACACAGGTCCTCTAATGCTCCTCCGCTGATGAAGAGAAATATCATCAGAGTAAGTGGCTTCTCAAGATGATATTCAAGTAAAAAGGCCTTTTTTTACCAGAAAAGCTGAAGTCACTGTTGAATATGCACAAAGTGAGTGACAAACCACTGAAGAAACACAAGCTTAGTGTGCTGAATGACTGCAGAAACAGCTGGGTTATATCCTGTCTACAAGTGTTCATATTCTGTACATCCCAAAGCCTCCGAGGGAACCTGCACAGTGCTCAGAAAAACCAGAACACAGGTATGTGCAAGGCTTTGTACAAAAGGGCTTCCTTTTAGATCTCCTTTAGCTGATTCTTCTACTAAATAAATGTTACAGAAAACAGCTAGGACAGCCTAGCTTCATCGGCACCAACAATAAGCCCCTATTTTCTCTCTTTAATGGCTTTTATAAATTATTTTAATATTCAGTACAAACTGTCAAAAGCAAGCACAGCGAACTGCCCACAGTATTTATTTTTTTATTTAATTTTCTGATGTTTGCACTCAGCCACTGTGCCTGTGTGCCACGTTTTGTCATATTTATTGTCCACACGGGTGGTGGAACAGAAGATTTATTGTAAGTGAAACATTTCAATTTCACCCTCAAACTCTAACAGCACTTTCCCTATGCATGTCTTTCTTCAAGGCAATACTGCAGGAACGGGTAAAGCATTTAAAGAACTTTTTTTTTTTTCCTTTGCTCAAAACTTCCCCAGGGGTGTTCCCAGTGTGGACCAAAGTAGCCTGTGAGGAGGCCCCTGACAAAAACCTGCAGGGTCTGCAGGTCCCTTTGGTGTTGCCCAAAAGAAATGGTAGCCAAACACATAATAACAGCCAGATGTAACCCAGGGAGAATGGTTTTCACCACAAATATGAATAAAATTGGCACTCACAAGTTCTTCACATCGATGATTCCTCGAAAGGCTTTTCTAGGGATTCCTTTTATCTGGTTTTCACTCAGGTCCCTGAATAAGGGAAGAGGAAAAAAAAATACATTGTATTAACAAAGAGAACACATTTCTCAAATCTGCATGAGCTAATGGAGCATCCACATGCTTGGAAAAGTAGATGTTTCTGGATTGGTTACACCACAGGATGTTCTCCATTTTCTTTCTCTCCTCTACAGCTCTGTGGAATGAGCTGAAACGACTCCACAACAAAACCCACCAGAATTTGTGATACAAGTGACAGAACTTCCAGAAAACATCCCTCAGACGTGGTCATGACACTGTCACAATGCAGGACTTGCTGTCAGAGTACCTGCAGCCAAATCTTGTGCCTTGGAGCTGCAACCCTGTAGTGCAAATGAAATTTTCTCAGCATGCTCCTGTTTGTTTACTGACTGCAAAAATACTTGGCTACCCCTGCTTATATTACAGCCTCTTATTTGAAATTAATATTCAGGAAAAGCATGACAATCATTCTCTTGTAAGCTTTGTAAATGCACAGTGAAAAGGTCTTAATCCACCACATTAAGAACCCCACTGCATTGTGCATCAATGGCAACCACTGAATCTTTAACCTTGCTTAAAAACAAACAACAACAAAAACCAAACAACCAACAGCAAGTCAAAAAGCCTTTCCAGTATTAAAACCTTACAAATGTTTCCACTTCAATTGTTACATCTGCATTGTGAGTTCAGGTTATAGTTTCCTGTTATCCAACCTGCATTCAGGTGCTTTCTCCATAGTATTAAGCATTTCTAAATCTGCAACCCTCCAGCAGTGCAGGTGGAGGCAGGAAGGAGGGCCTCAGGAATGGGAGGGAGATGGACACAAACCCAGAGAGCTGGGATGTTTTCAGGGTAAGGAAAAGCAGCACTCAGCCTGATTTCCTTGCTGGTGCCCTGGCAACATGGGGGAGAGGGAGCAATTCCAGCCTGGGTTAGGTTACAAAGTGGGGGGTAAGAGAGAAGACAGGAAGGCTGATGAGTGGGAAAGAAAAACATAAGAAATGAGCAAGTGGAAGGCACAGGGATGGCTGGACAAAAGGACAAAGAAAGGTGACACTGCAGCACAGGGAATTAGTGCATCGTTTGGGGGGACTGTGTCCCTGTGTTACACAAGCCCAGGATTTTGCCCCCTTTTCAGAAAGAAACTCTGGATTTCTAATCACTATTATTAAGAGGGAATGGCAGGAATCTGTACTCACCCCCAGACACTCTTTTCTGTAAGTACATTTAGTGTTGCAGCGAGCTCCCTTTCTAGCCTCCCCCAAATTGGCTTTATCAAATGAGAGGCCAGAAATCAGAGCCTGTCACAAAAGCCCACATTGACACTGCGGGTCAAGATGTGTCACGCAGGCCTTTCTTCTGCTTTCCATCAGGCAGATAAGAAAAAAAGGGGACTATGTCCTTGTCATGGGACTAATTCAATTTATACCAGTCATGCAGTCTACACCAAATTCTCAAAGTAGCCACAATTGTCCATTCAGACTATCACAAACAAAAATGTGCTGCTGGACACAAGTCCCTTTTTCAAGTCAGATTAAAATTCTTTGTGACCTTCACAATTTGTTTAACACTGATCCACACTCTGACCTTTCCTTCACCTCCCCTTTATTTTGCCAGCAACAAAATATTAGTTCTTTAAAGACAGACCTTCAACCCAGACAAACGATCAGGCAACCCAGAGAAAGGAAAGGGTATTTCAGACCCAGAAGAAGGAAGTCTCCTGCTGAAGACCGATTTCATGACAGGGAGTCACTTTGGTGTGACAGTGAGGCACAGCAGAGACACAGCCAGTGGGAAAAGCATGACAAAATGGCTTAGGAAGGCAAAAATTAGTCAGATCTGAAAGGAAGACAAATGCAAAGCAGAACAAAAAAAGGGCTTGAAAAAGTAGAACTGTGTGGTCAAAGAAAACCACACGAAATCCACCAACATCTCGAATTGCATTTGTCTGGCATTTTACTGGGCATTATTTCAAATCATGTTTAAAAAGAAATTAGGTTTAAAAGTTATTTTTTCTAGCATTACTGTGTTCTAAAAGGGCTAATTTATGTTTTTGCTTTCTGCTTTGCCTTTATGCTCAACTCTCAACCTGCAGTCAGCAAAACCAGGGGACTGTAGGAAGTTGATCCATTTCCTATGGAAACCATTCCAGTAAACTGTATTATTTTCATTTTCTATTAGGCACTCTCCTCTAGGTACCAGTACTGCATAAATCTCTCTAGTGGGCTGAAGAGCTGCCAGCTTTGCATGGCCCTAATGACACAGCATGGAAGAAAATTCACCAATGCATATTTAGTTTTCTTTGACTGCCTTCTCACAATTATAATCACCCCATTTTGAAATGGCCAGGGAAAGTGTTTCTCTCTGCTTCTTGATACTGTGGCAAACCTTTGTTAAGCATCTTTCATAAGCAAGCAAACCCCAACCAGGCTCAGCCTGGGCACTTCCCAAAATTTGCTCAGAGAAAGCAGAAGGTCATAACAAGCAACTTGTCTACTGAGTTTACCTTAAATTTTCAGCTCTTCACTCCCTACAGGCAAAATGAGAAGCTCACACTGGCAGTATGTGAAATAAATATTAGTTATTCCCAGTAACTGCAGAAAATCAGGTAAACTAAGGTGAGGGTAAAACAAAACCCTTAAAAAATAAAAAAAAAAAAGTGGGGGGAAAATATTCAGCATTCAAGAAAAAATAAATCTGAAGAAAAATAAATTATGACTGCTAATACACTTCCTATTTCTTGGGCAGAAGTTTCAAACTACCTAATTCTGTAACGGAAGGCAAGTACAATGCATGGGTGCATGATGTATCCTAAGGAGGAAATCTGAAAAATTCCAGCTTTAGAGAAGAAAAGACTTCCAAAAGTCCTGCCCCTAACAGGCAGTGATAGCAGACCAAAAGCACTTGACCTAAGGACAAACTGAAATGTGCCAGCCCATCAGCATCACCCTCCTTCACAAAGGATCCTCTGTGGAGAAAGCAGCGAGCCCAACACAAAGGAAACACCTTCACGATAAAATAGACACGTTGAGCGAAGTCAATGTTTTGAGATTAAATGATTCTTCCTGTTCTTTTGATAAATACAGGCAAATTTCAGCCAGTTTAATCTGCAGGCAGTGCACACTGCACAGAGATCCAGCAACCAGCCACTGCCTCAATACGGTGCAGTGACCCCCTGGCCCCCTCATCCAGGTTTCTGATGGGAATACGCTTGGAAAGGCCTCGGCAGCGATCCCAGAGGAACCAGTGAGGGGAAGAGCATAGCAGGCAGCAATACTGGACACGTTCAACCAAGAGCTCCCCCAGCCAGCACTGTGTGGTGAACCCCCAAAGGAAGCAGCATTCTCCTTTCTGAGATGGAGAAATGGAGCCACAGGGATATTAAAGGGCTTGCACTTCAAATCTGCATAACCAGAGCAGTGGGAGCCAACAAAATCCAGCAGCTGTGGCTCACACACCCTCCCAGCACGGCAGACCACACGTTAGTCTAACCCAGCCTCCAACGGGAGTTGGCACAAACCAGTACATTTTTTAGTTTTTATTTTAATTTTGCTAAAACCCCTTTGGACACAGATTAACTCCCTCTGCAAGACTAATATTGTTTTCCTGATCTTCAAATGGGCATTGAAAGAGTCTTACTGATAAAAGGATTGGAATAGGGGAAAAAAAAGCGCCTGAAAGTGCTGACGTTTCCTAAGTGCCTCTGCAGTCTTTGCCGTAGTGCTGGTTTTAGCTTCCTGCTTTAACACCGCCTATTGCATCCCAAGTGAAAATTCAGCTCTCTACCAGAGCAATAAAATACATTAAGACCTTTTTTTTATTGTTATTTTGCCAGTGACAGAACATAAATCAGTTAATTGGAACACAGACCCTACAAACATTCATAAAATTAGTGTCTTCATTTGAACTACAGATTTAAAACGTTAAAGCAGCTACTTTAATACAACCTGCAAAGTTCCAGTGGTACTGGAAATACCATATATTATATGAAAATTAAAAAATCAGCAGTGATAACATTATGCTGAATCTTATGCTTAGTCTTGCGTACATTTGTCTCCCCTTTCAAATACCAACAACAAAACCCCACTCCTTGAGCACTGACAAATTATTTTCCCGATCTTTTTTGACATACAGCTTCTAAAATTTTGAAAGACTGTTTTTGCACAACTGCCTGAAAACCAGCTTAAGAAGTATTTATTGTGGTTGAACACTACTCTTTAATTATTTCTCCCGCCTGAATGGGCTAAGAGAGATCACAGTGCAGTGTTATCCAATAAAGAACCAGGCCTGCCTTTAATGTCTAAAGAGTTCAGTACAAAGACTTCAGGAACAGTCCCCAAGAGCAAATGCTTCACGACCAAATATGTATCTTTCCCAGTATGTTACTGCATGTTGATTCCATAATAAAAGTGCAAACTCACGGAGTTAACCATTAACACATGGAACCAGTGGTTTAGCTGAAATGAAAGAAAAATCCAGAATAACTAAGCTGATTCCTTCCAAGCACCTTTTAGCTTCTCCACCACTCAACTGCTTCTTGCAGTAACAAAGGAGAGCTCACACACAACACTGCAGCAGCTGATACAAAACCAGCAGGCAAACACTGGTTGATTGAACTGTATATGGGGCTTGAGGGTGCAGAATAACAGATTGTTTCCCATCATCTCTTCCTGACACAATAACAGGGAAAATTAATGAGGTTTGCTTGCTTTGCAAAATAAAACAAGTGAAAGATATGAATGCTGACTTAAAGAAAGTGTCAGCTGCCACCAATGCTAAGAAATAAGCCCTGTGCCCACTAACTTCATTTCAGCCACAGAATGAGCAGCTGAGAGAAATGAGAATTAATTCATCCGTGTTGGTAGCTTTTTTTACATTCTTTTACCAAATAGGATTTCTGGGTTTAAAACATTTCAGTCTCATCCAGTGATTACAATAAAATAAAATAACAAAATAATGTTTCAGAGGTTTTGTGCACTTAAGTTTAGTGACTGTTCTTCAACCCAACTTTT